CTCCATCTTTTCACAATTGTATAGCATCTCAATATGTGGATCTATCAAATTTTTTTTGTCTTTTTGAGACAGTCTCATTATGGAGTTCAGGCTAGCCTTGAGCTCACTTTGAAACCCAATCTGTTCTTGAACTCACAAACATCTTCATGCCTCAGCCTCTCAAGTGCTGGTATTACAGGTGTGTGCCACCACTCCCAGCTTGTATCATAATTTCTTAAAATTCGCAATTGGTGAACGATCAGTGGCTTTCAAACTTTTACTATTGCCAGGAAAAGGCTGCAATGAAATATGGATATTCTTACATTTGTATATGTTTCCATGTGCATATGAACATGTACATGGTCAATTGAGTTCCTGGGTTCAAACTGGAAGTATAATTTTGATGAAAATTGTCTTTCATAGCAGATGTACTATCTTCTACTGGAAATGCACACAAGTGCTTGCTTCCTTATAGAGTGGCCATAGTTTTCATTGTACTCAGGGTTTTCAGTTTAAGTAAAAACCGGCAAATAAATAACAACCAACCAAACAAAAACCCTTATTTTTTTAGTCCTTCAGCCAGAATCTGTCTATTTTTTCCCTATCTAGGCAAGTTCATCCTTCCAATTTGCAGACAGGTGAACCATGTATAAATAGCTTTTCAAAAAACATAGGGCTTATATTAAACATTTTGAAAAATATTTTCTTCTGGCTTCTATTAAAATTTCCATTTCCAAGACATATTTACTTTTAACCTATTACTTCTTAAAAGTTAGAAATATTGGCCCATCAGGAATGAGCAGTGGTGGTAAGTCTACATGGACAAATATGCTTTTGTTAATATATACTAGAAAATCATTCTATGTCTTTACTCAAATAACGGTCCTTTGAGGCTAAAGACTTGACCTATTGTCAACAGTGTTAGCAGTATGTGAGATACAAAAAACTAAAAACCCTCAAACATTTATAATTTATCTTTTTATGCTTTGGTATATAAGTTAAAGTATAAAACTGCCTATTTAAAAATATTTTCCATATAACTTTTTTCACAAGGGAAAATTGATATGCTTTTTCAGAGGAAAAGAAGACAATAGGATTTGCTGTATGATTAACATATTTCAATGCTAAAATAATTCCATTATGTTGATCAAAAGTTCATAATGTTTTGATATATAACCTCACATACACAGGCAGAAGTTGCAATCCTCTTTAAGTGTATTGGTATAACAATATGGACAATAACTCACTTTTTTGGTTTATATATATATATACCAGGTATTGATGTCAAAAAGCCAGTAAATGGTAAATTATGGAGAAAGAACAGCAAATGATCATTGCTAGGCAATGTGGGGAAGGGAAAATAGTGGAGTTCATGTCAATTGTTTGGGAAGACAAAAAATTCTGGAAATAGAATGTACTGATGGCTACATACCAGTATTACACTTAATTCCGCTGAATACTTCAAAATGGTTAAGATAGTAAATTTTTTTAAATGTTTTTTGTTCTGTGTATTCTTTTTTTTTGTACTGGAGATTTAACTCATAATCTTGCACTTGCCAAGCAGATGCTCATACCACTAAGCTAAATCCCCAGCCCAGTAAACTTTATGTTATGTGTATTTTACCACAATAAAAATTTGGAGAAAGTGCCATTGAATGGTGGAACAGGAATTTGACTTTACTCTTGTCCAATATTTTCCTTCTACTCAGCAGTTTAAACCCATGTTACATATGAGGTTACTAAAGACCAGAGAAACTAAATTGGCTTAAGTTACACAACTTTTAAGAGCCAGAGCTAGAGTTCATGAAATGTAAATGTCTTTGTGACCGGAAGCTTAGCATAGGAAGTAAAAATAAGATCAAGGGTTCATCTAACAAGTGAGGATTTGGTGATTTTTGGTTAATCACTTCACTTGTCAAGCCAGCAATAGTAAAGTAAAAGAACTGATGAACATCAGGATTTCTTAAATTTAATGTTGTAACCATGACTTAGAGTAAGAGATGTTTTATACTGTTGCAGTACACACACCCATGCACACACATACACACACACATACGCACACAAACATCAACAGTACCATCATATGTTACCCTAGACTGGCCTTCACAGATGTAGATTTAATAGGGATTTGATTACAAATGATGTATGCTCACAGGAAGTGCTGGTATGGGATTTGAGGAAAAGGGGGTGGAGGGGCGAGAAATAGAAATTAACAAAGGACTTCAGGTGAAGCACAATGTCAGCATGACTCAACATGGAAATATGGAGCTTAAAGTATTTCACAGACTTTGGTGCACTTTAAGACAAGAAATCTGACTTTTAATCTTTCATCACAAATCACTGGTTATTTGCCATTCCAGCAGGATGTAACCACCTAGGCATTTCAGCTCTTGTTACCTTGTTGGCCAGTCCTGAAAGGTAGACCCCAGTGATCCCTATTTTGTGGTATTTACACTTCTGTGTACTTCCCTCCTACACTGCAGCATGGTTGGTTTTTATGATCAAAAAATACAAGAGTGACAGTTGGTCACTTCTGAGAAAAAAGAAAAGACCATGGTATCCATGTTGGATTTTCTTTTTTTTTTTTTATTTGTATCATTGGGATAAAGTAAGGTCCCAATTTATGAGCAGCCCTATGAAGAGACTTATGACATTTATTCTCATAACAAGGAGTCAAAACATGCCAACACCATTTGAGTTTGAAAGCAGATCCTCCAGCTCCAGTCAAGCCTTAAAATCACCATAGTTCCCACTGACAGTTTAATGTCATGAGAGACTCTAAACCAGAACCACCCTGCTAAGTTGCTCCTGGATTCCTCACCCTCAGAAACTGTGAGATGATAAACATTCATTATTTCTGAAAACTGCATATTTGAAAAATATGTAACGCAGTAAAAACTTAATAATATAGCACAGTAAGCTAATGTGGCAGCAATGACCAAAAGGTAGTTATCTAAAGAATTGGAGGGAAAATCATTTAGGAGTGAAGCAAAAAGATGCTGGGGTAAGGTGGAAAATAATCACCAGAAGAGACTTGAGATAATACAGGCAGAGCAGTAAGCATATCTGCTGTCTCCCAAAAGTACCGTCTAATGCCACATTGCATATTTTTACCACATAAGACACTCTGATATTTTCCAATTTATTCTTAATTTTGTATTAAAGTTTAAGAATCCTTACATTGATTTCATAATCCACTAACAAATTATTACTTGCAGTTGAAAGCAATGAACTTAATCACTTTTAAAGTTCCTTTGAGAGCTAAACTTTAGGAATTAGCTGGTTTTTTTAAATAAGGGTAGCTAACATTATTGACCATCTACAATACCAGAATTGTTCAAAACACTTCACACACACACACTGTCTCATGTGAAGATGATATGCCCACTTTATAGATGTAAATAAGATAAGTGCCAGAGACCATCAGGAAACCCAGGTAGTTCCAAAACCTACTGACAACCCAGTTATTTGTCCTCTAGATATCTTCCCAAAAGTGTTAAGTGTATCCTATTACAGTGATACATACATACCTATGTTTATAGCAGCATGACTCATAATAGCTAAATTTTGGAGGCAGATATATATCCTTTAAGGGATGAATGGGTAAAGAAAATGTGATATTTATGCACAAGAGTACTACTTTGCCATAAAAAGGACAAACTTGAGAGATTTGTAGGAAAATAGCTGCATGTTTAGACCGTAGTGTTAAGTGAAATAAATCAGTCACACAAGCTTAAATATCATATTATTTCTCTTATATGAGAAACCCAGGAATTTTATTGAATAGAATTGAGATAATAGGAAATAGGGAGATAGATATTTTGTAAAAGGGAGGGGAACTAAGAGATAGAGGGAATGGAGAGGGGAGTTGGGGGGGATATAAAAAAGAATTGAAATGTGTCACATAATGTACCAACTCCTTTTGAGGAATATAATCATTATGTATTACAAACATGTACCAATAAAATTATTTATTTTAAAAAGAGGAGTACAGGCTCTTATATCAAGTTGTTTGGGTTAAATTTTTATATCAAAAACTTTTGAGTCCATGTTTCCAATTATAATGATGCCACAAACCAATTATTGCAAGCTATCAAATCACAGATGAGGATAATTCTAACAAAAACTTTGAAATACTTTATGTATTTCAACATTGACTGAATTCAGCAGTTCACTTAATGATAATTCACTAGGCATTTTGCTCCCCTTCAGCCACACTGACTGCATCCTCACCTTAAATGTAGTCACTCATCATTTCAGTAAGATGGAGCCCTGGCCCATGTTATGAAACACCTATGTGTTATAATGTTTAGTGTACACTTCACTGTAACTACATAGAAAACAACATATTTATTTTATGTGCTAGTTTAGTAAACCATAATTGAAGATAATTCTCTAATGAATAAACCTACATTATGTAGAAACTATTAGACCAGGTGTGGTGGCACGTATCTGTGATCTCCGCACTCTCAGAGCCTCATACAGGAGGAACACAAGTTTAAGCACAGCTTGGGAAACTTAGTGACTTGTTGAAACCCTGTCTTAAAATAAAATTTTTTAAAAGACTAGGGATATAGCTCAGGGCAACACCATGAGTTCAATCCCCACTACCAAGAAAGTAAAGGAAAGAAAGAGAAAGAGAAACTAAGAAAGAGAAAGAAAGGGGTATAGGAGACAAGAAGGAAGGAAAGAAAGGGAAACATTAGCACTAAAGTTAGAGATGATTAGTTCACCATTTCATTTCAAAAATATGCTCAATAAACATGATATAAGTGGTTAATAATTTCAAAAATGCATATGCAGAACATGGATACTTGGAACTGTCAGCTTTTTGGCTGAATTCCTTTGAGCCAAAACTCTATAAATTATACCTTTCATGTGATAGAAGTATGGTATTTATCACAAGAATTGGAGTCAGTGTAAAAGTATAACATCTTTTTAATAAAAGATTCTCAGTAATCAAAGATTCATATACTTTCAGAGTGAATTATCTACAGCTGGATACACGTGGGGGTACATACCAGAAGGATGTTTCAGAAGTTGCTAAGTGGTACACTTATATATGGAGTCTAGAAAGAGAAAAGAAAAACTGATCCAAGTCTCACTTCAGATGATATTGAACAATCATGAATTATAAGACAATGAGAGTGGCTACAACCTAACTAGCAATACTGTTAGCAGGGATAATACGATCTCATTATATTACCTGTTTTTTGGAGGAAAAATCATTTTGAATATATTTCTAAAAAGGGAGTTAGAAAGGGTGCCATGACTCCCCCAAACCAAATGTCTTGATGTCTTGAAAATTAACACTTCAAAATAAAACTTTTACTAATTATAAAAGAAACACATGCTTTTAAAAATTAGTAAATGTGAAACACGTAGAGAAAAGCCAAAAAATGAGTTCTAGAATATAAGGCAATAATTACTAGTATTTGTTTGTATACCCATATCTCCAAATTGTGTGTATATAAATTTATTATGTACATAGACACAAACTGACATTATACTGTATGTACCTGTGATGGTTAATCTTGATTGTCAATTTAATTGGCTTGTGAAATGCTTAGGGGATTTCTAAAGCACACTCTGGGTGTGTGTGCAGAGGACATGTAGATATGACCTTGGGGACTATATTTAATCCCTGATTCTTTCCTTTCTGGTACTCTTCTCCAGGCCTCTGCTTCTTGACCACCATGCAGTGAGCAGCTCTGTCCCATCATGCCCTTCTGCCAAAATATTTGTTCCCAACCACACCCTGAGACCTCTGCAATTATACACCAAACTGAACCTTTCTTCTTTTTATTTGTGAGCGTTAGGCATTTTGTCCCAGCAACAGGAAAGCTGACCAACACATTATTTTATATAAAGTCACTTTTGTATTAGTAAACATAAGGATTTTCTTATGTCAAATATATTGTACTTTGATACTAATTGGATGGCCATATAAATTTCCATTCTGTGAACGCAGAATTTGTTAGTATCCAGTCAGGCAAGCCAAAACCACTAAATATATTTGATTCAGAAATCAGACACACGAGTTTAAATATTACACAGTTTCTCTTATATAAGAAAACCAAAATACAAATAAAAAGCAAAATATAATATAGATAACAGGAAGTAAGGAGGTCATTTTCAAATGGGAAAGGGAAGATAAGATAGAGGAGAGAGGGGAGAGAAACGGGATTGGAATAAAGACTGAAGAAAAAAATGAAAACAGGTTTTGCAAGTGGGAAGGGGAGCAAGAACTGGAAGATCAGGGAGGGATGGGAAAGGTTGGGGTGAAAAAAGAATTAAGATGACATGCACATGTACAAGATAAATATATTCATTATGTACAGCAAGTACATACTAATAAAAAAGTAAGGGCTTAATGCTACAATGCCACAATGCTACAATGCCACAATGGTAGACAAAGTGCAGAAAAAAAAAAAAGAGAGAAAGGGTGTATATTTTAGTTATTGCTCTGTAAGTAAACCATCCTAAACTTACTAAGAGTGTAATAACTTACTTAAAACCAGTAAGTTTACGCAGGAAACAATTCTGCAATCAGTCCTTTAGGATTAGCTCACCTGAACAGTTCCCTGACCTCTCTATTAAGCTTCCTCATGCACCTGTGGTTGGTTATAGGTTGACTTTGCTGATCTTGGCTGGGCTCCCTTACATATTTGAGACATCAGCTGGGATAAGAGAGCTGGCTACACTCTAATCCATATGGTTTCTCATTGTCTGGCAAGCTAGTCTGGGCTTATTCTCACAGCAGTGGCAGGGCTCAAAGACAGAAGCAGAAGTCTGTGAATTCTGTGAGTCTTAAGCTTCTGATCATCATACTGACATTTTCAGTACATTCTATTATTCAAAGTAAAAAGAAGCTCAGATCAGATTAAAAAAAAAAAAAAGAAACAGACTCCACTTTTAATGGAAAGAGACATAACATTCCAACAGAAAAGGGCATAGAAAGGGAGAAAAAGAATTCTGGCCAGTTATGCAAACAATTGGCCATAGTATGAGTTACCTAGACCTCAGAAAGCTCTGGTACTGCTGGACTGAAGCCCACAGACCTGTATTTGATGGAGATCTGTAAAACATGCCATTACTAGCCCTTTTAGAGGTGCTGTTACCATTAAGTAGGAACCCAGGAGGCTAGAGCCTTACTAACACAGTTAAAATGACCACAGTTATTGTTGAGAGCAAATCATTGTCTGGAGTTCAGTTGTTGATGTTCCTGCTGTTCAAGATATTTTCCCAGAGACAGGAAAGCAGGCTTCTCTCTTTTTCCCAATTTATAGTCCCCCCCCCAGCATTTCCTACCAGTAAATCTAACAGGAAGGCAGTTGAATAGAGAATCCACAAAATACAGTTTGTATGACTCTACATCCCTGTGGTATGGATAACATTGAAAGTATATCTGAGAGCTAAGTAAAAATGTACTGTAAAATAATATCATTTTAAAAACTAATCTACTACTGCTGGATATTTACATTGCTTCTTTTGAAACTACCATAAAGACAGAAAGTGAAGTTATCAGTTGAGACTGCTCCCAAATAAACAATATTTAATTTCTAAGACAGATACTATAAAAATGAACATATCCTCCTTGAGCCCAGCAAAACATAGATAACATATAAAACAGAGCAACTCTAAATATCTTTGCTCCATCCCTCCATGAATTGTGTTCAGTCTGAAGGGAAGACCACTGGAATGCTTGCCAAATGGAGCTGAAATCACACAGTTGTCTTACTTACCATTATCTATTATATTCCCATTTGGTTGAGATCTGCAGGGATTATTCTTAAATCATAATTATAATTTTTATATTTGTAAATATAAAACATTTGACCTGCACTTCTCTGTGTTTCAACAGTCATACTATAAATATCAGATCTCAGTACCAATTTTTCAAGAAGCACTTTTAGTGTTTAGCCTCTATTCACAATATATAAGCAACAATTTTTTATTATAAATGTAAAATGGTATGTAAAATAAGGAAATGAGGATTTTCTTAGGAGGCCAGAATTCCTTCCCAATACCATGTAACTTTATTAAATTTGTCTGATGTATACTTTATTAAGTTTTATGATTATAATCATAGAAAGATTATAATTCTGTAAATATGTAAACAATATAAACGATGTATTCCATCCCAATGGAATTTTTGTTTTAGTACAGTTAAAGCTAACTAGGTTTTAAACACTGTATGGTAGAATTCTATAGTATGCATGTGCTAAAATTTTTTGTTGTTTCTCTTCCTCAGTGCAGTGAAAACTATTTGAGAACAGGGATCATTCACTTTGCTCAGAGCTGTATATCCAGTGCTTAGAAAAATGTCAAGTAAATAGTAGATATCTAATAACTTTTCAGGATGAATGAATACAAGGTAAATCATTATTGATAAATGTTTACATTGTTTCTAAGTTAAACATTCTAATAATGAACCGTGCAGTTAGAGATACCTTACCAGACTGTTAGGAAAAAGACCCAGGCTCCAGGGATTTCAAACGACCAGGCACAGCCACCCATCACATACTAGTCATGGTGATCAGTACTGAAAAAGAACAGAAAAGGAACTTTAATCAGCATGAACCATGTTGCAAAGCACAGAGACTTTCAAATTCCATCTTTGATAGGCTGATAGAAACTTTGCGGTTTTTTGGAAAGGCATACAAACACAAAAGTTGAGGGTTTGCGTAGCTGCCAGAATAGGTAATCCTGGTCAAGTTGTGGTTTGGTTGTTCCATATCTCAGGAGTGGTTCTGCAGGGTTCTGGAAAACATCATTACTTGAGGAGGCAATTCAGTTCCCATGATGAGACGGTGCCTCTTTGCTTAGAGGGGCAGTTTGGTTCATCATGGGTAGCTGTTCTCACTTTGGGGGATAACTTTATCACTGGGTGGTCTGCAGGGCTCTGCTTTTCCTGGAATTTGAGGAATTGTAGGTTTAGATCAATGACTGGAGAGCTTTGGGCATTGCTCCAAAGGGTCTGGAACTGAGCACTGTAAAAGCTAGCAATTGGATGCTCCTGAAAATTCCGTTAGTTATTCTTATCTTGGTGTTTTCAACATTGAAAGGAAATGAGATAGGCTAGCGAAACTCATGCATAATAAAGAAGACAGATAAAGGGAGAAATGCCAAACTTTATCATTCTTTTAGTTATCCATAGGGTATCTGCAGGTGCAGCCTCTAGATCTCTACTACAGATTTATTTTATAAATGTATTTTTTGCAGGGTTAATTAATAGAGAATGAATTATTGGATAAAAGTGCAAAAACAAAATTGAAGAATTTCTACCCCTCTTCAATTTCTTCTGAAACATTTGAGAATGTCCCCAGAGTGAAAGGAAGTGACACTTATATTTAGAATCCAGTCTTTCTAGCTATCAGCCAGTACTGCCGTTATCAGTCTCACAGACATCATCCTGTTATTAAGTGGCACTGGCCTGTTTCTTCTTTTTAGCTTGTTCTGTTTTGAAGAAGTTTTGTTTCTAAAGTTTCCAATCTATGTCCTAAGCAATTCAACTGTCATTCTGCTAAAATGAGAACAGTGCCCTTTGTCCCAACTATTTTTAAGAGGGATACAGGGAATTGAACTCAAGACCTTGCACTTGCCAGGCAAGCACTTACACCACAGAGGTATATCCCCAGCCCACCACTATTTTTTGTTAAGCAAGCTATACTGGTTTCAAAACTGTTTGTGCTCCAGATATCTTCATGAATTGTTTTCTAATCTAGCCTTCAAAAATCAACTCTTTAACCCCCAAGACTCAGGAGATGCCTATGGAGGAAAAGTATGGGTCTGCATCTTTCATGTCTATATCAAGCTAGCATTTGAATATCTCTAATCCTCTGCTCTTTACCAAGTGTCTTAGTTACTTTTCTTCTTTGCCAAGTACCTGACACCCACAAGTTAGAGGATAGGTTTATTTTAGCTCACCGTTTGTAGTGATTTCAGTTCATAGTCACCAGGCTCTAAAGCAGGGTAGCATGGCAGAGGAAAAACAACCTGCGGCAACACAGGCAGAAAGAAGCAGCAGCAGTGAGCCTTCCTTTCCCTTTCACGCCATTCAGGCTACAAACCTATGGTCGGTGCCACTCACAACAAGTGTGGGGCTACCCATTATCCACCTGCATAACTACGCTAAATGAATCAGTGGTTTAATTGTCACATATCTTTAATCTATAGTCATATATCCTAGATCTAGGTCAGTCACTTATCCCACCTAGATCCAGCTCAGCTACCTTCGAAAAGCCCCACCTATGAGCACATGAAGCTTTGGGAGTTTAGTTTCCTCTCATTTTCCGTTGAATGCTTTGCTTGGTACCTTTTGGAAACATACCCTTAGCAGCTCAGTGCTTCAGACATTTCTAAATATCAGAGTAAAAATCATCCTGCCCTAAGATCTAGAGGCTAGAGTCTAAAAGCACACACATATATACATACATATAGAACTATATATGGATGAACATATTCATAAATTTCATATGTGCATATTTTTAAATACTTCAAGATTCTCCCCTTAATCCTAAAACATTAATATTTCAATTGTTTGAGTATAGGACTTCCTTCGCAAAATATTCTTTTTGTGATTATAAGTGTAACATATTATCATTTAGAAAATTTAAGAAATAAAGTAAATAACAAAAAAAAATCACATACAACCTTAAATCACAGCGGTGAAACTGATGCATACACATTTTATTTTAATCTTTTTTCTTCATGTCCTTACATAGGTAAGATCATATTACACATATATGATTATGTTGTGAACCTTAATATTAATCCAACAATTTTCTTTAAATGCTAAAGTATTTTTATATACATACTTCTTGCATGCTAGTCCATTGTTATGATACATACTTTATGTCATAGCTTTGTATTTTTTTAAAGAAAAAAATAAAATTTCAAAACACAATGGTAGGAGAGTAACAACTGTTAATACACTGAATATTGTTATTTTTATTTATTTATTTTTATCGGTACCTGGGATTGAACTCACCACCGCCTGCTTGCAAGGCAGGTGCTTATGCCGCTGAGCTAAATCCCCAGTCCACATATTATCTTTAAATTACTTAAGAGTATAAGATATTGGCAGTTAATTGTTCAAACAATTTTGGCACAAACTTTTCTTTTCAATGAACTAAGAGAAATCAGTAGTATAACTATTCTTGAATATCTGTTCTGTGCTTTAAAAGCTATCCTCTAAATTAATTCAAACTAGAAGTCAAATCTGCTCAGTCTTGAAGAATTCTATGTCAGAACAATTCCTTTTTATCTGTCCCAGGGTGTTTTAATCCTAACTGGAGCAACCACAGAGCTTTTAAAATATTCTGATCCCCCACCCCTGAGCAATTCAGTTGGAATCTCTGAGGGATGGGGCCCTGGCATTCACAAATGCAGACTGACGACTCCAGTGCGTCCTCCCCCCTCACAGCCCACTCCCAATCAGGCTACTGCAATGACCTCTAAACTCTTTTCTTGTTTCTGGACTCTTCCTTTGGTAACTTTTCATCCTTCACACTGATTCCCAAATTACTTTCCCAAAACATAGCTCACGTTATTGCACTAATGAAAGACTCCCCACTGCTCCTACTTATTGCCTACTGTAGAGGGTGTAACCTGACCTTAGGATCAGCATGGCCCTCTTCTACTACAGCCCACCTGACATTCCTGCGTTCTTTCTTCCACAGGCCCTCTAAAGTGCCTTCCCACTTTTCTGCATACGCATTCTGCTTTTGTCCAAACCACTACTTTGTTCATGTTGCTTCTGTAATGAGTATCTTCTTCAATCCTCAAAGACCACCATTACCCTATTCATATTTCAAACCCGTTTCAAATTTCACACCCTTATTCAAACAGTCAACAGTCACTACCAAGTTACTACTATGCACCACTCATTTGTTCAGCTTTCTTTGAGTTCCACAGTATCTGGGTGCTGATGGTACAATGGGGAAACAAAGCAAACAAAAACACTTTCCCCTCTCAGAGGTCACATATTAGTAGGGAATCTGGGCAGAGACACACAAACAAAAACCAAACACACAAACAAGAAAATATTAGAAAAGTCCTGCGCAGGCAATTAGAACAGGATGGCTATTTTTGTTTAAAATGGCCCCTCTCAGATGGTGACATGTATGCTGAGATGTGAGTGACAGGGAAGAAGGAACTAACCATTCAGAGGTTAGGGGACAAAAATATGCCAAAGAGAGGCCCAGCCAGTCTGACAGGCGCTTGGAGGGAATGCAGTCAACTTGTTTAGGCCAAAGCAGTCGAAGGACAGGGCCAGAGGGAGAGTAGCAGGAGAAAAAGTTGGAGCCAGCTCATATATGTTGTCTAAATTGGAGTAGAGAGTTGAACTTTGATTTCAAGTGAAGTAAAGGAAAGCCAGTTGGGGGGTTTTCAGCAAGAGTGGCATGAGAGAGTTTGTGCTTGAATAAAATCACTCTGAATGGTATGTGAGCAAGAGATGGAGGGGATGGCAGTAAGAGTTGGGACCAGTAGGTACTTTGATGGCAGTCAGGTTCTCCTTGCCAACTTCTCTCCAGTCTTTGCACTGTGTTATTGAGCCTTGCTGACTGTTCAGTTTCCCAAATGCACCCTTTCTTCAGGCCACAGGACCTTTGGACCGACTGTGATTCTGTATTATTTCTCCATGTAGCAAAATGTAGATAACTTAAAATTTACCACCTCACCCATTTTAAAGTATACAATTAAGTGGCACAAGTGAATTCACAATATGTGCAGTCATTACCGCTATTACTCCAAGAGGGAACCCATACACACTGAATAGTGATTCCCTAGTCTTCTTTTCCTGTACTGCCTAGAAACCACTAATCTACTCTCTGATACAGGTTTGTTTATTCTGGAACATTCATATGAAAAAAATAGCACAATATGTGGCCTTTCTGTCTGGCTTCTTTCACTTAGCATAATATTTTCAGGGTTTGTCCAGATTGTAACATGCATTGGGGCTTCATTGCTTTTTGATAGCTGAGTAATGTTCTATTGCATAGACACACAAAACTTTGCTTACCCATTTGTCACCCAATGAACACTTATTTAGATTGTCTCTACCTTTTTATTTATTGTGACTAGTAGTACTATAAACATTCTTACACAAGTTTTTATGTAAATGCTTGTTTTCAAATCTTTTGGGTTTATACCTAGGCGTGAATTGTTAGATGATAGCTGTAGCAACATTTTGTTGAACTATAAATCAGTGAATCAAAGGCATGTGTGCATTTTCTGCGACTTCTGTGACAAAGTACCACAGACTGGGCACATTGAAACTGTAGAAATTCATTTTCTCAAAATTATGGAGATGAGTATGAAACCAAAGCGTCAATAGAGTTATGCTTCCTCTAAGATTCTGATTGACTCTTTCCTTGTTTCTTCCTAGCTTCTGGAGCTGACCACCAATCTTTGGTGTTCTCTGGCTTGCAGTTGCGTCTCTCTGATCTATCTCCTTTTCTGTTGCCACATGATCTTTGCCCTGTGTGACTTTGCTGTCATTTTACCAGCCTCTTTAAGGGCCCACACTACTCCACACAACTCGTCTTAATTTAAATGGTTACATTTACAATAACATTATTTCTAAGTAAGGTCACACGCAGAGATCCTGGGCTCAAGACTTCACTATACCTCTTTGAGTGACATATTTCCAGTCAGTGACTTCCTGATAGACAGTACTAGGCATCTGCATTCCCTGAGGATCTTGTTCATTTGGGCTTGGAAAGGAGTCTGACTTTTAATATTTTCAACAAGCTCTCCTGGTGGATGTCATTACTGCTAATTCAGTGATAGGGAAACAAATTCTCCTGGTTCACCCAAACTTTTCAAGTTTCAGCAATACAAATCGTGAATATGGAAAAACCTCTCAGTTCTTGGAAAACTAGGATGATCTGGCATCCTGTATCACAGCAACAATTTGAATAGCAAGGATTTATGTTTGAGGTTTTTAATTTATCTGTTAATTATTTATATTTATATGGCTTTAAATTTGATGATTTTTGCAAGAACAGACCAAGTTTTCAAGAATCTACTTCTATTTAGATACTCCAAAAAGCCCCAGAAAAATTGTGAATTCATGAGCTAATTTAAATTCATGTGCATCATCTGTGAACATCCTGTATTAACTCACCAAATTATCCATGATGCTTAGCAAAGTTTCTTTTGGGATGAATACTAGAATTTCTGACCACTTTATACAGTAATTGTACAAGACTAAGAACTTTTGACACTAAGCATATGGACTGGGATTAAAGTCTCAAGAATCCTTTTCCACTGCTGCAACAGTATGAATCAAGACTGGGAACTGTAAAAGTGAAGGAGAAAGTTCCATTATGGAGTTGGGCTTAAATTCATCGCAGTAGGGGTGATGGCCTTAACCTTTTATATTAGAATCACCTGAAAAGTTTAAAATCTGCTAAATCCAGGTGTGGTAGTATAGGCCTGCAGTTAGTTAGTTTTCTCTAGTTGCTGGGACAAACTGCCTGATGCCCTAAATTAAGGAAGGAAAGATTTATTTAGCTTACAGTTTGTGGATGTTTTAGTCCACACTCAGCTCACCCCAAGGCAGGATGGTGTAGCAGAGGGGCAACAGTTCATGATGGCAGCAGATACCATAAGCAACAAGAGCAAAAAGGGAGAAGCAGGAGAGAAAACTCTGTCATTTATATTGTATGTAGACCACCCACAGGTGGGTGTAGCACTCACACTCATAACCCCAACACTGGACCATGAATCAATTACAAATTCTAGAAGCCTGCCCCCGTGACACATGAAGCTTTGAGGGAACATCCAGAGGCAAAACCATAACAGCCTGAAATACCAGAACTCTGGGAGAACTGAGGCAGGAGGATTTCAGGTTGGATTCCAGCATATGTAACTGCAACATAATGAAGCCTTGTCAATTAATAGCTGGAGATTCAACTTAGTGCAAAGGCCCTAGATTCAATTTCTAGTACTGAAAAAAAGGGCAAGCCCTTACCAAATGACTCAGAATAGGTGGGATTGAGCACAAGGTTTCATAGTTTCTTAAAGTTCTCCAGATGATGCAAATGAGCAATCAGCATTGAAGGTCACCATATAGCATCTCCTTGTGTAAAAGATCATCTCCCTTACTCTGCCACAATCTTCTTTCTCCTGAACCCATATAGCTCTCTACTCCTCTTTGTTCCCACATACCATTCCTCATTCCTTAGGTGAGCCTCCTCTTCCTCATATTTGTATTCTATTTATACAGTCACCTCATTGACTTAGAACCACATTTTACTCATTGGAGGTAATAATTACTCCTGCAACAACTGATCTTGGGAAGCTTTTGCCAAGCTTTCTTGAGTCTATTTTTCATTCTTTCACAAAAGATAGCTTTAACATCATTTATGCCTGAGTTGCCTGTGAATAGTGTTGCAGTTTTAACTATAGATTCTCTCAAGAATCAAGCTAAATCGCCCACAGAATCTATATTCAGTGTTTCTTCACAAAGCAGCCACTGGAAATCCGGGTTGGAGTGTAGATATTTTTATTGTGATATATAACTCACATCTAATAGGAGTCATTCTTTTAAATTCACTGTTTTTAGTATATTAAGAAATGTGCAACCATCATCATCTAATTCTAAAAACTCTCATCACTCCAGAAAGCAGCCTTTCTATGCATCACTCACTTCTCATTCCTGTTCCACCACCACCACTCATCTGAATTTTTTTTTTCTCTATGGATTTGTCTATTCTGGACGTTTCCTATAAATAGATTTAATATGTGCTATTTTGTGTCCAACTTATTTTACTGAGCATATTTTTAAGTTTCATCCATGTCATAGCATATATCAGTAGTATTTCATTCCTTCTTGTGGCTAAATACTTTTCCATAGTACAAATATTCCATCCATTTGTCAGTTGATGGACATTGAGTTGACTCTACGTTTTTACTATTATTGATAATTGTGCCATAAACATTCATGTACTAGTTTTCATGTGGACATGTGTTTTTGTTTCTCTTGAGTAGGCGCCTAGGAGTGAAATGCTTATGGTCACTCTATATTCAACTTTGGGTAAATTTTTTCAAGTTGTTTCAAACATTTGTTTTTTTACTTCTTTGGTGCAGTTCTCTTTCATAGGTGTGAGATGGTCTATAATTGGAAGGTGGGGCAAATGATTCTCGGGTACATTGAAACTTTTTTGTTATCTACTAAATATTTTTGTATTCAGGAAGAATGATGCTTTATGTAGAACGTCCTTGTCATTTGGCTTCATCATTTCCAAATGTGAAGAAATCTAAAAAGTTGAGCTACTGGAGAACCTACGGATACCTGTCGTGATGAGGAGCTGAGGGTCTCTGTGCTCTTGGGTCCCTGATCATTATATCCAGCCGTGTCACAGTTCCTGGCAAGGACAGGACGTCTGGGCCATTTCTATTTAGAGAAGGCCCGCTGAGCACCCCCACACACAAACCTGACTTTTTTCTGGGGACAGCCATAAACTTCACCTACTCAGGTGAAGATCTCTCTGCAAAGCAGGAATTTAAATGCCCAGGCCATCTGTGAGGGGTTTCCAGACCTCTGACACCTCCTTGAGACATTCCAGTTCCTCTACCGCGTCTCAACTCAGCAGGGGGTCTGAGCCTGCGCGGGATTGCAGACTGGCTGCTTTCCCAGCATGCGCAGTTGTTCCCGAGTCTGCTCCTTCAGCCCAGTCCCCACGAGGTGCGCGCTCACGCACGCGTACCGCCTCGTCTGCGCGCGCACCGGGCTCCTCAGCACGCGCCCCCGCCCCGCCCCGCCCCGCCCCGCTCCGCCCCGCCTCCTCCCCCCTCCCGCGCGCCCGCCCGCCGCCTGCCGCCACTGCCACCGCCGGAGCGCTGTAGTATGGCATCGAGGAGAATGGAGACCAAACCTGTGATAACCTGTCTCAAAACCCTCCTCATCATCTACTCCTTCGTCTTCTGGGTAAGTGCCCACGGCTGCCCAGTGGCCAAACCGCCGTCCACCAGTCTGTGAGGCGACGCTTTTAGAAAGGAAGGGTGGGGGAGACCCCAACCAAAAATAAAAATCCTGGTCCCCTCCTTAAGGAGACTGGCGCGAGGTGCTGGGTCCGGGGCTGCCGGATAGCAAGATGCCTGTCCGAGCTGCTCAGACCCTGGAAAGCCTGGCGCAGGCTGCAGTGGGCGGCAGGGTGGGGGTGACTGCAGGTTGTTGACCTTTCAAAAAAATTTTTTTTTCCTGCATTGATTTCTTTTTTAAGCTCGCGGGATAGGATCAGCAGCCTCTGGGGAAAGTTATGGGTTTATTTGTCTATTTTCCTTTCCGGACTCCTTTTGCTACCCTACCTTACCAGCCTGTTTGCGACGTCTCTGGAAGCTAACCTGTGGCGGTGTGGGAATGGACGCGGAGCGCAGGTTTGATGCCAGGTTCCCAGTTATCCTCGACACTTTGGGGCTGCAGGAGAGAGGCGCCGAAAGCCCTCTGCCCGCTTAGGCAAGGGCGGTTAGAGTTGCTCAGACGCACTAAACGGGGGGCAGACGCCGCCACCGCGTGGAGGCGCACGGAGGGGAGAGGGTCTTACATAAGCTAGAGACATCTTTGAGCTTTTGCGGCGACTCTGGAGATGGGTCTTACGACCCTGTCCCCACTCCTTTCACCCTTACATTTCCCATCCGATAACTATTCACTGTGTAAACTCATTCCGCAGCGCCCCAGGGGAGGACCCCCGCCACCGCCACTTCGCAGCGTTAGCGCCCCAACTCTGTTTCCCCACCAAACTGGTGCTGCTTCCAGTGCTTGAAGCTCAATGCAGAAGGGTGACGTCAGCCCCTCAGCCGGGGCCGCGGGGGGCTATGGTGCACCTCTCAAAGGGATGCGTCCTTCTGCGCGGGAGGCTCTGGAGAAGGAGGGGGAGGAGGAAGGACGGGAGAGGGAGGAGGAAAAGGGGGCTTCAGGCTTGTGCCTTACCTCATCGTGTTCGGCAATTCGTGGAATCAGTGCAGGGCTGACTCTGCAGTGATTCACTTGGATAGGTGGGTGGTACCTTAACCATTCTTGGTTCGCTCCTTGTAGACGCCCCTTCTTCCCGGTTCCCCATTCCCACACCAAGCCACAGTCACCCCTCAGGAATAAATATCTGCGGCCCCCCTCCCCAATCTGGGTCATCTAAGCTTCCAAGGCAGTCATTTTGAAACCTGAGGCTCTGTGTGAAAAACCAGGGCTGCTTTTGGTTGTTTTTCTTGCCCCCAGCCCCCATATTAGCCCTAATTTTGCTTTGAAACTGGAGCGCCGTGCTGTATGATGTATCCAGATTTGGCTTAGGGGTGAACTGGGCTATTTGCAAGGACCAAGGCGGGAGCTGAGATTTATTAAGGATTTTCAAAAATTCCTAATGCCTGTGGGCATATCCTTGTCACTGAAATTGATGATTGTTTAGGTCTGAGAAACTGGGAACTCCAGGGACCAGGCATACCAAGAGCTCTGCAGTGATATAAGCTAGATTGACTAATGGTCTATCACATAAGACAAACACAGAAACGGACTTTATTTCGACTAAAAAACGACACAGGTTGTAACATCACAGTAGTGGGATTGTAAGCTATGCAAGTGCTGATCAATCTTACCATCTTATGTTTGCCTAGAAAAAGCAATAATGCATGTTGATTATTGACACTTCTCATTAGCAGTTCCTGGGGACTGGTTAAGCCTTTTTAAAATATTTCCCGAAATCTGTTTTTGTTTAGCTCTTTATTACTTACTTGACTTGGTATTTGTTGCTGGAGTAAATCATATGGGCAATTATTTCTAGGTTCCTGAAAAAATAAGTTTTACAGTGCACCTGAAGGAAGGTTGTTTTCTCAGCATCTCTGAAGGCTGCTGATGCAGGGAGTCTTCCAGACTTAGGCTTTTTAAGCTCTTTAACTTTCCTTGCTTTTCCCTACCCCTTCCCACAACATGAATATAATGACTCAGTGCCCCTCAAAACATCTTGAACAATCACTGTGCTTTATGACCTGTAGAAATTCCTGAATGCTAGTATTTTAATTTATTTTGAACGTTTAAGATTTTCACAGTTTTAAATATTTACCTGGAGCATTTTCAATAGTTTAATTAGTATTCCATGATCACTTTGTACCTCATACCCAAAAGAATATCTCCCTATGAGAGGGTATTTTAAGCAAGTCATTTTTATTAATAAGCCAACTTTCAAGTGCCATGTTTGTTTTAAACCATAAAACACTTCTTTTTTTAAAAAAAAGCTTTGAGAAATAATTCATATGTATAAGAGGCACCTATTTAAAATATAGTATACAAAAATATAAATAATATATATTTTAGTATGTTCAGTACGCTTTAGTATATTCACAGAGACTTTACAGGCGTCAGTACAGTCAATTTTAGAACACTTCATCACCTCAAAAAACAACCCTGTTTGGCCCCCTCTCCCTTGTCCTCTCCATCACCCACTCACCCCCGCCACCTCTAAGCTATCACTAATCTACTTTGTTTTTTTCACATTTCTTTTTGTGAAACAAAAAGAACATTTAGAACATTGGAACATTTTAGATATACATAATGACCGCATTCATCATAGGGAATATGTACCTGAACATGGTATCTCTTGATTCTTTTCTTTCCCAGTCCCCTATCATCCCTTTAATCCTCCTTATTTACAAAAGATTTGCTTCCATTTTTTCTTGTTTTTTTTTCCTTTCCCATTCCTTCCTTTCCCCCTCCATAATTTTCCTTCCCACTTGAAAATTTTCTTCCTACTTCACAATATCTGTTACACATTTTTGTCCTTATTTACACTATTCTATTTTCTGTCTCTATAGATTTTCTAATTCTGGAAATTTTCTATGAATGAAACCACATAATATTTGTCCCTTTATCATTAACTTCTTTCACTTAGCATAATACATTGAAGGCTCATTCATGCTGTAGCATGTATCAGTACTTCATTCATTTTTTATCACTGATTATAGTGCATGGTATAGATACACCACATTTTATTTGTGCATTTGTCCACTGATGGACATTTAGGTTAATTGGGCTTTTTGGCTTTTATGAATAATACTGCTATAAAACATTGGTGTACTATTTTTTTCTGAATATGTATTTTCATTTCTCTTGGGTATATACCTGAAGCTGGAATTGCTGAGTTATGTAGTAACTGTTTAATTGAAGAAATGCCAGACTGTCTTCCAGAGCAACATACCATTTTATATTTCCTCCAACAGTGGTGATTCTGGTTTCTCCTTATCCTTGGTAACATTTCTTTTTGTCTGACTTTCGACTTGCAGCCATGCTAATAGATAGGAAGTCATAACACATAGTTCTGATTTGAATTTCCCTGAACAGTGTTGATGTTGAGCATCTTTTTAACATGTTCATTGTGTATTGGTATATTTCCTTGAAGAAATATCCATTCATATCCTTTGAATATTTTTATTTTGATTATTTGTTTTTATTTTATTTTTTTATTTTATTTTTTTTTTTTTGTCTTTTTCATTTTTATCGGTACCGGGAATCGAACTCACGACCGCCTGCTTGCAAGGCAGGTACTTATGCCGCTGAGCTAAATCCCCAGCCCCCGATTATTTGTTTTTATTATTAAGCTGTAAATAGTCTGGGTACAGTCCCATTCAGATAAATGATTTGCAAATGTTTTCTGTAGAATTTTTTTTACATGAAGTACAGAAGTTTTTATTTTAATAAAATCTAGTTAACTTATTTTTGTTTTGTTATTCCTGATTTTGGTGTCTTATCTACATTGCTTGCCAAATGCAATGTTACAAAAATGTACCTGTTAAAAAGCGTTCATAAGAGTGATTTTTCTGAGGGTATGGCAGAACATGTATGTAATCCTGGTACTCTGGGAGATTGAGGCAGGAGGATCACAAGTTTAAGCCCAGCCTAGGCAACTTAATGACTTAGTGAGACTCTGTCTCAAAATTTAAAAAATAGAAATAAGGCTGAGGATTAGCTCAGTACAAAGGTCCTGAGTTTAATTTTCAGTATCTTCAGAAAAAGGAATAATTTCTCACTTAAGTAAATGCAATTTATACAGTAATTTTTCTTCAGCACCTAGAACTTTGTCTCATACTTGGTAAGTACACAAGTACTTGTTAAAAGCATTAAAATTATAAGTAATTAACAAAAAGTGACTTTCTTTTATTCTTTTAAGTGGAAGATAGAGGAAAAATCAGGTAGAATTATTTCCTTCATATTCATTGTTTTAATTGAACTTCTCAATTTAGGTTTAGGACTTGAAGGCATTTGATTTTAAAATGGTAGTAGGCCAGTAGCATCAAGAAGGTGATACACTTCGGCACATACTAAACTGGAAGTCTGTAGTTAGTTTTAACAGGCCTCTTTTTCCTACAGTCTTTGAGGTATTTCTCTAATGTGGTTTTCAACAAAGTCAACAGACACATTTGTCAATATCTGAAGACACTGACCAAAAATGGTCACAGTTGGGAAAGTCGGTATAGGCATTTAGAGTGTAGGAGTCACAGAGGCTGCTAACCATCCTGCAGGGTGGAGGACAACCCCTTGAAACAAAGAAGTACCTGGTTCAGAGTTGACATATGAACGACCTCTACTGTGTTGGACTTATATAGTAATAAGTCCTGCGAACGAAAAGAGATCCTTATGTCAAATTCAATACATTTACTGTTACTGAGAACCACTGTATCAGAACATGTTCAACACACAAACAAGAAGTCCAGCATTCTGCATGGGATGCCATAATTTTTTATTTGAAAATAAAAGGTAAGTGATTCTTTATATAATTGAATTCTAATGGATAGAATGATTTGTTTTTTCTAATTACATAACATCTTCTGAATCTAAGCAAACAGATGGTTTATTTTCCATGACTTGCGTGTTTCATTTTCAGGTTCAGAAAAAAGGAGGGAAAATAACCTAGCATAAATGCTTTAAAAACTAGTAAGTGGTGCCTGGTGTAGGGTAGGCTTACTGAGGAAACGGTGAAGGAATGAATGATGACATTTTACTAGCTATATTTGGGGCTCAGTTGTTTATTTCAACTCATCTAAAGCTGAGGAGGTTTTTCTCTTTTTTTGCTTTTCTCAATATGTTTTTTTTTTAAATTAGAACGTTTATAATACAGAATATTAATGTTCATTTTGGGGAATCAGTACATACACCTAATGTATCGTTATCATTTTCAAACTTTTTTATTTCTATCTCCCTTCTTTCACCGACTCCCAGGACCCCTTTTCTATTTCCAAGACTTAATAGTTTCTCTCATCTCTTCTTTATTTATTCATTAATGTATATACTAGGTTTCTCATACAAGAAGAAACAAGTAGAATTTAACTTTTAAGTCTGACTTATTTCACTTAGCATAATAATCTCCAATTTTATTTATTTTTTTATAAATGATGTAATTTAATTTTTCTTTTTGGCTAGTGTTCTATTGCATATATATATACCACTTTTACTTTATTCATTTATTTGTTGATGGGCATCTAGGCTTTTGCCAGAATTTTATATATCATGATTTGTGCTGCTATAAACACGGAGTATACATGTGCCACTATAGTATGATATTCTTGGGGCAGATACCCAGAAGAGGAATAGCTGAGTCTGGGGAAATTTATATTTTTAGTTTTTTGAGGAATTTCTATACCTGTTTCCATTGTGGCTGCACTAGTTTACATTCCCATCAACAATATAGGAGCCTCTTACCCCCAGTCCTCACCAACTTTCATTGTCTTTGGTGTTCTTGACAGCTGTTCTGACTAGGGT